CAGTACTGAATCCATATTTGTCATGTTTATTATTCTCTATCCACTTCAATTAATTAAACTCTGACAGTTTGAGATAAAGGTATCAAACCAACTGTAAATATTCAGAATATTATTCCCTATAATGCACAAGGCTTGGTTTTTCAGATTATGCCTTTATTGTTTTTATATATATAGCACTAAAACCATATTTTTCATATGTTTTATATGCTGTACCCACTTAAATTAATTAAACTATGACACCGTTTGAGATAAAGGTATCAAACCAACTGTAAAATATTCAGAATATTATGCCCTATAATGCACAGGGCTAATTTATAAAATGATGCCATTAGTATTTGTGTATATTGAAAGCATATGAAAAGTAGAGATCTAAAATGAGCATTTGTATCACGCTCCCATGTTTAGGTAAAGCACCATACATACATACATATATATGTGTGTGTGTGTGTTTGTGTGTATGTATGTATATATACAGTGGGTACGGAAAGTATTCAGACCCCCTTAAATTTTTCAGTATTGGTTTTATATTATAATGTCACGTAGTTAAATTGTTTAATTAATTTAAATGGTTAATTTTTTTTTAATTCCTAGAAATTAAGCCTTGTGCAACATAAAGGGCATATATTTATGTCTATCTGAGTTAGTTTGGGCTCAAAACATAAAAGCTGCAAAGAGTTTAATTGGCAAAAAACCCGAATGTCTAATGAATGTCAAACGTCAAACTAACTTTACCGCCGTTGTGACAACTGCTTTTTGGAACTCGTTTAATCTTTACTGCCATCTCTTCTTTACTCGCATCTTCACGTGCAGATATTTGGCGGACTTTTCATGCGCATGTTGCGTACTATTTCAGGCCTGTTCGATAAAGTTCTCACTGTATTTCGCCGGTAAGTGTGAGTGACTGACTGTGGGGAGCGGCGCGTAATTTGACGACGCTCCCTCTACATCCCGAGTTTTATTCGAAGCGGCGGGGTAAACGCGCTTGCGCCTCAGCGCTCGCCGTCTCTGGCTGCATCCCCTCCTCACTCCGCTGCTTCGCCACACACTGACTGTCCAGTCACTCCAGCACCGAGCAACAGGGAGTGTGTGTGTGCTTGTGCTTCCAGCTATAAAGAACTTCATCTCCATCGCTCCGGACACACATCCGCTTCTTCATCTGCCCTCCGCTGCCCTTAACAGCCGGCCACAGTAACCATCTGCCATGGAGAGGAAGGTAGGACATTTACAGCAACATCATAAGAATGTAATCTGCTCCATAGGGCACTTATTAATCAACAGTGTTGAGTGTCTGCGGTCTGTTACCGTCCTGATGGTGTATAATCCGCCCATCTCATCACAGACAGTCAGATTAGTGCGCATGGGAGTTTTCCGACTGGATCTAGTTTATTTGGCAATGTAAAGAGCAGAAAGAGACTGTGTATGAAGCCAGACAGAACACACGAACTAGTCCTGAATACATACACTGGTGCACGTGTTAATCCTGTCTTCTTCATCACTGGGTTCTTCATGATCATAATGCTGACTGGAGTGAGAGGTTCAAAGCAGCACTTAAGGCTGTGGTGGGCTTTCGCCGCCTAGTCTGAAATCTTTTTCAAGTAGGCTAGTCATAAGCAATTGTAGTCATGAAAAATGTATTTGGTGAAATTTTTTTTTTTCAAGTGTATATATTATTTCATGCTCCTACAGATTCGAACTCTCTGAAACGGAATATTTGTAATTTCCCCACTTTCAAATACTGTATATCATTACAGATATATGCCAAGGTAATAACAGTGCAGGCTTTGCCAAGAGGTCAAATCAAATATTAATGCTATGCTATGAGGCAGCACATTATGATATCTAGAATCTGGTTGTTGCGTTTGTAAGGGTGGTAACTCTCATATGAACCCAACTTTATTATTTCTGACTTAAATCGTTTTCCTCCATAGTGATCTGAAAAATGCCCAATTTCCTTGTGACCATGCACATACAGTACTGACTGTTTTGATGTCACTAAAAATAGTTTAGATATGCTGTAAACGTAATAGTCCTAGACATCTGAATGACGGTAAGCATGACTGTGTTTTTACAATAAATAGATGAAAGCACTTTTTACATGCTACAGTCAAAAGTGTAAAGGCAGATTGACATGGATGAATATGACTGGCTACATTTTGTATATTTTTAATTTAAATTTTATTATTTTTTTTATATTTATTTATTTAGAGGAGAGTGTTCTGATTTTATTCTGTCCTTCATTGCATTGGGTGCATTCTGCTTTCCACTCTTGGGTAACCTAGTTCTTAATATGTGCTTTTATTCCCCACAAGGACTGATATTATGATGCTCCATCATAATTTAGCTGTTTCTTATACGAGTGGAGTGACCCTGATATCAATGTCTGTTCACTCATACCAGTAAAGAGCTGGAGGTTTATAGACAATTTCCTCATGAGAGAAGTGTTATTTTATAAAACAGCATATATAGCATATGGCACAGATTCATAAAAGGTCAGTTCCCTGTAGCATATATCTTATTTTTGTTGCAATTTCAAAATAATATTGTGATAAAGCATTTGTGATCACGGTGTTGAGTTGCAATTCCCTCCCATTTTTGTTTTCCTCATATATCCATCTCAGATGGTTGCTGAGTAAATCACCAGAATACAACTATTGATTTATTTTAATTAAGAGTATTCAGTAGTCATGCAATACACAAGTTTTTTGGGCTGTGGTGAGATGCATGCTGCTGGAATGCTCTGTAACTGCTGCATCGCTTCTGCTTGGATGCACTGCAGGAACTTTACACCGCCATTGACTGTAGATAGGCTGAGCATGCTGGAGCACTCATATAGTACATGTTGACCAATCTAACCAATGCTGGTTTCTGTGAGAGCTGAGGCTGTGCCTTTAACGTTGATGGTATTTTTTGTGTCTGTATGCAGTGTCTAATGTTGTGTGTGAGTTTGAGTGAGTAACAGTGTGGTTACTCACTGCATTCTAATGGACAAATTTATTTTAATTTTGTCATCATTTATTCAACATTATGTAATTCAAACCCCATAGGATTATTCTCCCTTTTTTATTTATTTATTTTATTTTAATCATGAAGCATAAAAGAATTATATTACGATTTGATCAACCTTTGTCAACCTTATACACTACCATTTAAGTTTGCGGTCTGTAAGATTTTTATGTTTTTGTAAGAAGTCTCTTATGGCTGTGTTAATTGGATGATAAATTCAGTAAACACTGTAATATTGTAAACATGTTTCTATTTGAACATTTTAAAATGTAATTTATTCCTGTGATGGCAAATACATTTTGTAGCCATTACTTTAGTCCTCCGTTTCAGTTTTTCTCTTTACTCTCCCTTTTGATCAATTAATGGT